TATATATGTATATATATATATATATATATATTTGTATATATATATATATGTATTTATATATATATATGTATGTATATATATATATATGTATATATATATATATATATATATATGTATATATATATATATATACATATATATATCTTTGGTAAGTGTTTTTGATTCGTTTGATACAGGACTAGCACAGCACAGTGTTTTACTTGTGAAAAGATTAAAATCTATCTGAACATTGAAATTGCTATTTCAAATCATTCTGACATAATGGATAGTATCAGTTTTAAGGGTTGTTGTTTTCCGTTAGTTTATAAACATCAAGTATATTTTGTTCGGAACTTTATTTATAATCAAATGATATGCATTCAAAACAATTATCAAGAACAATATAATCCTTCCTAATATTAATAATAAAGAAATAATCCTATGTTCTTTGTGAAATAATATAAAACCTAGCTTCTCTTATATAATTTTGTATAACTATTTTTCATTATTGGATATACTTATATCTTAAGATTCTTCTCAAAAGTATATATCTTGTTTATCGCGTCTCTCTATATCTATATTAAATTTTTTACTACATTTTTTACTCCATGACCTAATTTATATCACTTACTCATACATTATTCACGTATCACAATATCAATAAATATTTAATATTAATATAGGTTTCTTCACATATCACATTATTCACATATTTAACATAAATAGTATCCACTCTTGTTATTTGTATGGTATCATGCTATTAGTATTTGAGATGACCAATGAATTACAATGCCATTGTGACGTCAAATAGCATCATCATCAACATATGTTAATCTCGAACTTTTCAATCCTTTAAAAATCTTCCGGTCATCCCAACATCTATAATTTTGTCTAATTTTATGACACTGAAAGATCATTTTTGTCCATCTTGAATAGATAATTTCTCTCAATCTTATCTTTATTATGTTACATGACTGATGTAAGATGTGAAATAATATATAACATAAACAAGCATGAATGCAATAACATTTCTTTTCATTTCTATAAATACTCAATGATAAAAAATTTTCAGTTATTATTAAAGTTGCTCTTTCTTAAGACTTTAATAATATTGAAAGCACATATTAAACTCTTAAAGCATAAATTGATTTAATGTAAATTTATAAGTATCCATTCTTTAAGTGCTCCAAGTGCATCATTAATAATTTATGATACTCATGTGAGTCACACGAAAATTAGTTTTAATGATCACATAAAAAACGTGTATTGTTTAAATTCGACACCCTCTTATTCCATTAGACGGACTTAGACTCTGAAAGATTCTTTTATCACATAAAAATCCTTAATTTTGCATCTCAAAATTAGATTTGTTTAAGCTTTCATCACCAATATTGCTACTACCGAGTTTAACAATTGTACATTTGCATTCCTCAATATATTTGGAAGGTCAAATGTAAATAGTTGACCAAGAACATTTGCTTCTCTCGATGTTGCTTATTGGGATTTAGGTTTATTTTCAAAATATAAAGTAGCTACTTGCATGATATAACCCAATCAATTGAAGTGTTGCAATTGCATTCACGGTCTAGCATGATGTTTTAGATCATTATAATAGTTGTAACTACTGCTTAAAGATTAAAAGAAGTATTTAAAATAAAGAAATCAACAATTTAATTTTGATCCCAATCTAAATGAGTTTTTAAAAAATATATGATTCATTCTATAAGTGTGTTTTATATACCATTTTGTAACAAATCTAATATATAATTCCTAAATCATAAAAAAATAATGCTATCCTCATTACGTATACATATATCCATAAAATAATATTAGACCCAAAAAAAATAAAAAAATCTAAAAATATAAAATAAAAACTCTAAGAAACTGTTACCTTGCATATGTATAAATATAAATATGTATATATATATATATATATATATATATACACCCACAATCTTGTAAAGCTAAAAAAAAAAATGGATTTGTCACTGTAGCTAGTGTCTTTGCAATTAACTTGAGGTTATTGGATGCATCTAAAGTTTTAAATATTTGAATGGAGAGAGAGAGAGAGAGAGAGAGAGAGAGAGAGAGAGAGAGGGGAATTGGTGGGATGCCGCTCTCCTTTTAATTATTACACGTCGTGGTCGCCCTTTCAACATAACGATCGACACGATACCATCATCCGACTTATACGTCTCGTTTTATATCCCTGCCGTTTTATTCATTGCTTAGCCACCGTGAATGCCGCGTCCAACACCTCGGAGATGGATTGGGATCCTCTTCAATTTGTACTTTGAACTGGGAACTCCGTCTCTCCAATTTCAACCGGAAAGATGTCAAACGTCATATATCAACCATCCGATCAACTGTGGTCACTGATCCAGCCTCTGTGTCGCTGACGGCTGTGATTTGGAAAAAGGAGGAGTGATGGTTCAGATATGATAAGTGTAGATTCAAACTAATGTGACACGGAGATGATCCGAAAACCTCCATGCCGCATCGACAACCTAAAAATGGATCCTCTTCAATTTGTAATTTGAATTGAAATGCTCCATTTCTCCGATACCTACCGTCTATCTATTAAAACCAAAATCTCAACCGTTTAATGATCCGCCCTACCGGATCCATCATGTTTCTACTGACGGTTGTGATTTATGAAGTGGAGGAATAGATGGTTGATATGTGATGATTGGATAATCGTATATTTGTTACTTGGAGAGTATGCCAACGAAATCCCCTTGGCGAAGCAGAACGCGTCTTATATTGAACACAGGATCGGAAGTGCTTCTGACGCGACCTCGCGATGGATCCCGCCGCCGATCACGCCGACGCGAAGAAACCCGACGCCGATCGTTCCGTCGACTATGCCCCCTACCCCACGCTCACCGCCGAGGACGTCGCGCCCCCTCCGCCGCCCTCGGCTGCCGTCGGGCCCCGCGATATCACCTCCTTGCCGCCGGAGCACAACCCTTACGTCACTTCCTCTCCCGCTCCCAAGAGTATGTGTCCTCTCGGCTACTGGGATCATGAGTCTTTGTTGTTTGATCCCCTTATCTTCTCTTCGGTGGTAGATACGATGGATACGGTGCGGGATGTGCTCGGGAAGTTTGGGAAGAAGGTCAGTGAAGCAGCGAAGAAGACCGAGGATCTTGCCGGGGATGTTTGGCAGCACTGTAAGTTCAGCTTCTATCTTACTTATGTGTAAAAAAAGGGATCCTTCTGGCTTTCCATCAATGATTTGCGCAGTTCTATCAAGGAATTTGGCTATTAGTTGAGATTACAGGGAAAGTTTTTTTTTGATAAGTGATTACAGGGAAAGTTGGATGTAGTTTCTCTAAATTTCTACCTGTTAGAATTGGTGATATGGAAACTACTTCTTTAAATTAAAGTATGGTTAGTCTATAGTTGGGGTTAATTGATGGAAAGTGGTTTATCTTTATAGTATTTGATTTGAGGCTGCCATATATACAGAGATAGGATGCGGTGCTATGTTGAAGCTGCAATTTTGGATGAAACCATGTAGATTTAAGGGATTTTCTCGATCTAATTGCATAGTATGAATTTGAGGATGGAGACCTGCGAGGATTATATATTAGAGTTAGTTTTGTTCATTACATATTTGAGGATTTGTGGTGATTTCTTCAAATTTTAATGACAATATAGTTGGACACTGCAGCAAGATTTAGTAAGATACCCTGGTTTCTGACAAGGGGGTAAATTTAACAACCTTATTGACCATAAAATCATTGAAGAGTATAGGTCAGCATATGTTAAAAAAGGTGCTCTGATGCTTCATTGAAATAATAAATCATCTAATTATAAGAAGAAATTTAGCTACTTCAAACTATTAAAAGGTTTCTACTGAAGTTTAGCTACTGAAATGCTGTATAAATTAGATATATTGAGTTTTTAATATGAATTGGTCATGGTTTTTTATGCATGATTGCAGTTATGAGCCAGCAACATTTCCTGCAGTTACTTGGTTTGTGTATATTTTCTTTTAGTTGCCCTAGGCGGTTGTGGAAGAAACTCTGTGACATCATTATTGATCCACGTGCGCTTTCTTGTCTCAGTGAAGACAGGGCCTAGTGTTGCAGATGCAGCCATTGGTAGGATATCTCAGACATCCAAAGTCATAGCTGAAGGAGGTTATGAAAAGATATTTCAACAAACTTTCGAGATTCTTCCTGAAGAGAAACTTCAGAAGTCATATGCTTGCTATTTGTCAACATCTGCTGGTCCTGTTATGGGCATCTTGTATCTCTCGACTGCAAAACTTGCATTTTGTAGTGATAATCCTCTCTCATATAAAGTTGGAGATAAAACTGAATGGAGCTATTATAAGGTACCTTCATTTTCACTCCTTTTCCAGCAGTGAACAATGTTTGTTAAGCTAAAATAATGTGCTTAATGGAACCCTAATTTTCCATACTAGATGATGAATTATCACATTATCAGGAAACCAGATTTTCTTGATCATGTGGTGTTTGCACTTATGTGATATATGCTTCTGTGATATCGTATTATCTATAGATTTCAGTTGAACATTTTCTTTAGTTTATCAAGTTCACTCACATGAATGTTTATATGCATGACAGTTTATTGTGAATTCATCAATTTGTTTCTATTCACACCATGTATTTAAGGGTATCAGTGGGATACATGGAATGAGGAGGCTCTTCTGTTTATGTTATATTCTTCTGTTTATGTTATATTATTTCTCTTTATTTTTGTAAACTAATCAGAAAAGTTAGAGACAATAATTTTTGTCCTTTAGAGGTCACCCATAAATCAAAATAAGGCCTCTGTTGGAAGACTATCCTTCAGAATTGGAAGCTTTCTAGTATACCTATTTGAAATTCTGGCAAATGTATCTCTCTATTTTGAACATAGGTAAACTTGAAATTTATTCGTATGCTTAGCTTAGATGACTCATAGGCCAAGCTTATGTGGTATCAATTTCTACATCTTTCATTGTTTTGGCATACCTCAAAGGACTGATATGATTAAGCTGAGATATTAATGTGTTAAATTTGAACATTACTTCAAATATCTTTCTAGGATTCCTTCAAGTAGAATATTCTTTGGTTATATATACCATTTACTAGAAGAAATTCATGTGCCCAACCAGTTGTCGAAGTTTTTCGGTAACTGATTCATGAAATTTGAGTCACCATTGCCATGATTTTGTTAAACATTTCAACTTCAACCATACTAGTATTGAAATTCTATTAGTAGGAATTCCTTGAGATCAGTAACTCTGTAACTAGGTGCACTAACAGCATTATAATCTCCATAGGTATTTGAACAAGGAATTATCTCCAGTAGGGCTGACCATTAAGGCTATGTTGAGGAACTTGGCTACATAGTAAATTGGCTAATGGCAAGTTTGCAAGCAAGGGTTTGTCAGGTCTGCAGGAATGCTTTACCTTCATATGTAACTGGGCTCACTTCCACAAAATTTGACCACTGGTTGGAGATAACCACCGTACGAGAACTATAAATCATAAGCTCATTCCTCTATAATAAAGCAACAAAATAAAAAAGAAAAGAAGAATATTGTTGAGAATTGTAGACAATAAGGGCTTCTTATGACCTACATCAATCATTTTTGTGGTTGATTTTGAAGAAACAATCTGTTCTAAGTAATTAAGAGATCTAAATCTTGTTCGCTAAGCATTTAGTCTCTTCTGATTAATCAGACAATTTGTATCGTAGATTGTCTTGCACTTGCTCTTTTGTGTAATCTCAATTTGTGCATTTTTTTTATGTTAACTTTTGTGCTGCTGGGACCCTAACACAAGAATTACTTTTGGAGATTAATGTTGCTTTTTTCTTGAAATCAAAATAGGTGGCAATTCCTCTTCATCAGTTAAGATCAGTTAATCCCGCAACAAGCAGAGCAAATACAGGAGAAAAATATATACAGGTCGTGTCCGTTGACAACCATGAGTTCTGGTTCATGGGGTTTGTTAACTATGATAGTGCCGTGAGAATTCTACAGGAAGCTGTGCAAGATGCACATTAACCCTGCAGATGTTTCTATAATTGGACCGGGGACTTTATCAATGTCTTTGTGTTCTTGTATAGTTTGTATGGAGTGAAACTTATGTTGGTTGCTCAGATGTTCTCTTTGATTGATGTTCTTATAGATATTCATTGTGGCATATGTGGGATGTAGATAATACATGTGTGCTTGTTATAAAATCAAGATATGTACATTGTTGAAGTTGTTCCAATATGATGTGGTATGTTATATGGGTTGATATTGAGAATAAAACAGGTAGCTTAATGTCCTGCGAGCAATGATATAATGGGTTAAATACAAATTATTTTTTGTAGCTAGCTACATGTAGCATTTTGATTTCTAACACCTTAAAATGTTATATTAGTATCTTTAAAATTAAGAAAGTAAAATATTTATATTCATTTACTTTAATGATATCAATTTTCTAATGAAAATATGAAAAAAAAAAAAATAAAAAGATAATTTTAATGTTTTAATTGGTGGTGACGGACGATGTTGTTATTGAGGATCATAACTCCCTGTGGATAAAGAGAGTGGCGATGAGAGATAAGGATCGCTTTGTATTTATGTTAGTTTGGATGTAATCATCAAGCGATAAAAAGGTCGTTGATGTAGATGTTAAGATAAATGACCTAAATATTTTACCTTCGTAATTATAATGATTCAAATATAACTTTTTAAAGTGTAAGAATTATGATAGTAAAAGCAACTAACAATAATGGAGAATCTATAATTAGCCGGGGTATAAGCCTATATTAAGAAACTTACCAAAACTTGCATGTGAAAATGCCACATTGGTTTGGTAGCCTTAAAAATGTTTGCGGTAGAACTCTTGCAAAGCTGCAATAAATGGAAGAGAGAATGAACATTTGTCTGGTGTTATTACATAACATCATAGTTTCTTAAACACAAGAAAACACAGTTTGCCATCTTTTATCCAACTCTTTGTTTCCTTCGACAGCCTCTTTTTTTCTTCCCCTACGAGAAATTATCCAAATGACAATAAAATTTATGTTTCCTTATGATAAAAAATTTAAGAACTTTTTAAGAAATTATTTGCATTCTTTTTAAGTTTATTTTTTTTTTCATTCTTGTTTTAAGAACTTTTTAAGCTTTAAAGTAAGAAGTTCAAATTCATCATCATTTGAGCTTTCGCTCGAGTGGCCTTCATTTATTCTAAGTGTCAAATCTTTCTTATTCTTTGGAAGATCATTCTTAAGCTTTTCATGAGCATTACAAGTCATCTCATAGGTCATTAACGATCCGATAAGTTCTTCAAATTGATAAGTATTCAAATCTTTGGCCTCTTGAATGACCATTACTTTAGGATCCCAAGTTTTAGAAAGAGATGGTAAAATTTTATTAACAAGTTCAAAATTCGAAGAACATTTGCCAAGAGATTTTAAACTATTGATGACATTCGTAAAGCTGGTGTATATGTCAACAATAGTTTCGCTCAGTTTCATTCCAAACAACTCGAAATCATGCATCAAAAGATTAATTTTCGAATCTTTTACTCTACAAGTGTATTCGTATGTGATTTCAAGTATATACCAAATATGAAAATCATTTCATAAATAGAAACACGATTAAACTCATTTTTATCTAAAGCTCATAATAGAGCATTCATAGCTCTAGCATTTAAAGAAAAAGTTTTCTTCTCCAAATCTTTCCATTCATTCATTGGAGTAGAAGACTTTTAAAATTTGTTTTCACTGATATTCCATAAGTTTAAATCCATAGAAAGCAAGAAACCTCTCATTCCAGTTTTCTAATAAATGTAGTCCGTCCCATTGAACATAGGAGGACGAACGATAGAAAAATCTTCTTGAAATCCGAAAAGAGCTATTTCTCTTGGGTGTTAAACCAAATAAGAAATAACGTGGCTCTGATACTAATTGTTAGGATCGAGTCGACACTAAAAGGGGGGGGTGGTAAATTAGTGCAGAAAATAAAATTACGTCGGTTTGAAAAATCTTTCGTACGTTGAAAACCGATCTTGGAAGATGTTAACTTAGAAGTGTAAGAGAGCATAGTGAAAGCAATAAGAAGGCAGCTTGCAGTTAAAGTAAATTGCTCAAAAGAAATGTAAACCAGATTTTTATAGTGGTTCGGTCGTTGTGACCTACATCTACTCCACTGATTCCTCTTCCGTCGAGGCCACTAGCATCCACTATTGGTCTTCCTTTAATAGGCGAAGACCAACTACCCTTTTACACCCCTCTTCTCCTTTTCACAGGTTTAGGAGACAACCTTTTATAAGCAAACACTCCTCTCTAAATAGAATTCTAAGTTTAAGCTATAGGAGGGGATCTCTCAAGTAATTTCTATAACGTTTTCTCACTTTTAAGTTCTCTGTTCTTGTGTATGTTAACCAGGGATGCGAGGGGTATTTATAAGCCTCAAGTTAATTCAAACTTAGAGCCAAAAAAAGGTCTCATCTCGGGTTTCCCAGGTCATAACGGTACCACCGCCTGCAACATTGACACTGGGCAATACCACCACCCAGTCTGGCGATACCATCGCCTAGGAGACTGTGTCTGGGTGATACCACAACATGACATTGACACTGGGTGGTACCACCATCCAGTCTAACAGTACCACTGCCTGACACAGTCTCGAAGATTATGCCACGACAGTGCGAATTGTAAAGTCACTGTTTGGGCCTTTCATTTGGCCCAAAACAATCCATATATGAGCCCAATAGCTCCTAATTGGGTTGGCCAAATTTTAATCCTAATTATGTGCTAATTATGAAATTTAAGGTATACACTAAGCAAATCTGGTCCGGTTAATCTAGGTTTCTTCCGGCGAGCTTCATATGATCTTCCGACGAACTTCCGATTATCTCTCGGCAATGTTCTAGCGGACTCTCGACAAGCTCCTGGACTTCCCGATGATCTTCTTAGTGAGTTCCGACAAGCTTCTTCAGCAAGCTCCTAGACTTCTCGGTCAATTCCGGCAGAACTTTCGACAAACGTTTAGAATTCTAACGAACTCTCGAACTCCTGACGAAGTCTCGTTCTTGACTTTAGGACTTCATTTTCCTTTATGCCTTACTATCGTAGTTAATCATGCACAAATAAAACCTACTTAGATCTAGACAATTATTATAAAGCTTAAATCATGTTGTCCGGTATGTTATTCGTTCATCGATGCTTCGCTTGATTCTTCGGCTTTGTATATATATATATATATATGTACATACATATATATATATATATATACATATATATATACATATATATATATATATATATACATATATGTACATATATGTACATATATAAACATATATGTACATATATATATATATAAACATATATAAACATATATGTATCATATATATATAAACATATATATATATATATGTAC